AACGATCAGCATTATATCTATCTTGTTGAAACAGTTTACTTACTTATGAGCTTACTTATTAAACCTGTTACACGTAATGGAGCTTAGGCTGAACATCACAGCATTCTCAAACCAAGTCTTTCTTCCTGCTTACTTTCTAGTTGATCCCCATCAGTGCTTCTTGTTACCAAAACCTTGTGCGATATGCAGGTATATATATATTAACAGTTGTTGACGTAAGTTTGAGATCCTGATCCCTTGATTGGTTGCTGTAACTAAGTACCTACAGTAGGAAATAACAGACTAACTGCCAACTGAGGAACAAATTACTACAGCTGTACAAGTCACAAATAGCATAAATCTGTGAGATGCCTTAAGAGGTAAATCTTCAGAATAGAGAAAAACATTACCTGATATCGTTTTACAGAAAACTCCTAAAGATGATTTTAAAATGTGAGATAATTAGATTGCTACTCATCTTTATTGTGGTAAATTAATCAGCACATTTTATTAAACCATAGATTATTTAATTATCCTACAAAGAAATCTAGGCAAGTTTATAAAACACAAATCGAAGGAGGCATTCAACTGAGTTACATGATTAGCCCTAAATTGAAATAGTCAGCGAGGACGACCATAGGACACATGTTGTGACGAGAAGTTTAAGCATATGTGAAAAGAATGCAAAGCAGTTAGTTAGAACTGGAAAGAAAGGTTTAGTACGGAGTACGTTTTCGAATACTGATCTATGACGTATACTCAATAGTTAGTTAGTAGTACTAGTTTTATATATTAGCATTGGAAAACCATGAACGCTGGACGACCGTTTGGTACTAATATCAGGCTCAGCAGTAGTCCGCATCCACGACTTTCACATCCAAGAATCAAATACAGGATCTTCGTTCTTACACGTCTAACTTCAACCAATTCAAGTTGTTGAGCAACCATAAACTTTGTGTTTGATAGGTAACTGCCTAATATGTGACAAGGCCGAACTTCACTGGTCTTAGCTTCTCTCTACAACTCATGGAGCTAGTTACTAATGAGCATATTTTCTGATTTTTCGTTAGATAACATTATAGATTACTGAGTTTTTACTGACGTTTTGAATTGATCATTATTGATATGTCCCATACAATTGAACTAATACGAGTTCACCTTAGTCAGAAAACAAGAGCGAGGATCAATGATCCGGTCAAACAACAGGCTACTCTATTTCCGAGCGTCCCAAACCCCCAGTAAAGAGAAGAAGACTTTTTTAATAAGTAGAACGTGTATTCTACAAGCATCCAGAAAATACGAGGTTTGAGTCCTAAAGAGAATAATTATCTCGGACTTAAGGATCCGGATCATAAAATGTTAAGTCGAATAGGAAACAATATTTGTAGGATGTTACGTTATTAGTTAGGATGACCAATAGGAACTGACCAATAGAATTAGACTTACAAGACAATTGTCTTAGGATATTTAGATGAATATTCTAACAGTTTGCTTTAAGTTGTGAGAAAAAAGCTAACTGTCATCAGTATCGTATGTCAGCAAATTAAAAGAAGAGATAAATATCAACAAAAACGTATACATTTGAGCAAAAGAAAATGTATATTTTATTGTACGAGTCAATACGTTTGAAAACACTCCGTTCTAGTTGATATATCTGTATACATATACATGTCTGTGTATACTGGCGCTGTGGTGCGAGCTACTTATAAGTAGTATATGACGTGAGCGTCAACGTAATGTCTGACAGCAGAAGAAGATGGGGGAAGATCAAGAAAGGAAGAGTTAGAACACAATGGAATTGGTATGAAACGCATGAATAGTGACAATGGATTGATGTTTGGCAACAGGAACAGTCGAGTTCGATATGATGAACTGATATTTTGCAAATTAACAATTTACGATATGGTTGTCCGATTTTATTGAGTAACTCTGTGATTTTCGTTAAATCGATTTGGTTTCCCCACCTGTGTTCTCCTTCACTGCAGCACAAGTGCATCCATTTGTTGTGCTCTCTCAAATCCTAATCTTCTGGATTCATCAGCACCTCTAACTTTGTTTTTCCTAACCTTATCTCACTGAATTGTACTTCTTGAATAATATCTTCAAACCCTTGTCTTCTACATTACCAATAATACCTCTACTATTTTTATCACTATGGGATCTGATTTGACATTTGAGTCTGTGTGCTAATAATGTGGTATGGCAACCTGAACTTATGTACATACGTACGAAGTTGTAAGATTGAAACTGAATGACTGACTGATACTGTTGAACAAGTATTGGAATATTGAATCCGTCAATTGAAGCAATTTGTTCAAGCATTTGATCAAGTGATCAGTAGTGTTTGTCACTTATTTAAATCGTTGTAAATATAATAGTATTAACGTTTAGTTCAGTAATAATAGTTTTAACAATTCGCTAAAATTAGTCTTCCGATTAATTTTATCCACTATTTTGTATGGTAGACCATAATTTTATGCGGTGATTCTTCAAAATTAAAAAAAATTCTTTTAATGCTTGATAAAGTTTTTGACTAGCTCTTCTACAAAGACACCTTTAAATATATTCTGATATTTGAGCTAACCTACTGAGTTGTTTTTAAGTTACGATTTGTGTGTATGTGAATTTTGAATATGACAAATAAATCTTTGTTTTATTGAATTACAGTCTGACTGATTATTCAATTTATCTGAAATTTTTCTCAAATGAAACCTCGATTAAATGATGATACCCACATTGTATGATGAATTGATGTAAAGATGAAACGGTTGTCAACTAAGTGTATTAATCTCTTTTTATATTATTGTTAGTTTGACAGTCAGCCAACAGCGTATAATTGAGAGTGAAGTGAAAGATTGTCGAAGTTGAAACTCTATACACTCTTATATTTTTCACTTCCTTTGAATTACATCTAATCGGATAGACAACTAATGACTAGAATTCAGTAAAAAATAATTATCTGTTCTATGCAAAACAGAGATATATTATTTATTTCTGGTTATCAGTATTAGAAATAAATATTTCATGAGAAAAATTAGAAAATCATAGTTTGGTTTCATGTTTTTATCTTAAAGTTTTGATGACTCGATCTGTGCGAGTGGATCCATCCCTCCATGATCTATCTTCAAGAATTAATGGAACTTAATTGAAATAACGACTGTTAGACATTGAATTTCGAACAAATTAAAACAAAATAGAGACTTTTTTTATGAGAACGAAACAGAATGAAGCACAATCAATAAATCTTATTTTAAATATAAACTTCAACGACTGTTTATTGCTGCTTAATCGTACGTAACTCAACAATAACAAACATGTGTCAAACGTAGTCTTGATTGTATCAATTGAATTCTTTGGTAAAACATCCTATTGTAGTGAACGAGAACACAGGTGAGGGCAACCGAATTGTATTTAACGAAAATTACAGAGTTACTCAGTAAAATCGGACAACCATATCGTAAATTGTTAATTTGCAAAATATCAGTTCATCATATCGAACTGGACTGTTCCTGTTGCAAAACATCAATCCATCGTCACTACTCATGCGTTTCATACAAATCCGATCGTGTTCTAACTCTTCCTTTCTCTTGATCTTCCCCCCCATCTTCCGCTGCCAGATATTATCTTGACGCTCACGTCATATACTACTTATAAGTAGCTCACACCACACTATCACACGTATAAATTACCGATATCTAACTTTAGTTTAATATTCTTCAGATGACAAAGAAAATACATCTTCGCTAGTTAAGAGATTAAATAAAGATTGTTGTTATACAAACAAACAGGTGTAAGAGATAAATAAACATCCTGATTCACTGGAGACGTTTTTAAATTTGTAGATCTTGTATTTCGAACTGGTTAGATTATCATCTGGTCTCTTGATATAAGTTTTCTTTTCTATGAACGTGTTACTATAGTTGCCTATATGATTGAAAGCTAACAGCTTAACTCGACGGGAAGAAAACGACAGAATGTTGTTGGTTTGATAATTACATCCAAAAGCGTAGCATAGGTTAATATGTGGTGCGCTACTTATAAGTAGTATATGACGTGAGTGTCAACGTAATGTTTGGCAGCAGAAGAGAAGATGGGGGAAGATCAAGAAACGAAGAGTGGCGGGAACACAATGGAATTTGTATGAAATGCATGAATAAGTGAAATGTAAGACAATGGATTGATGATGGATTGAAGATTTGCAAATTAACCGTTTACGAAATGGTTTTCCTATTTTACTGAGTAACTCTGTAATTTTCGTTAAATACAATTCGGTTGCCCTCACCTGTGTTCTCCTTCACCACAAATATTTATTCATTTATGCTTTGTATTACTGTGAACCAACAACTACAGAGGCGTTTTCTTTGGAATGGTAACTTCACACAACGAAAACCTTGTCACCTTATAATTATTCATAATTTACGTAAACCCAATCAAAAATAGACACATTTATTGGTTTTAAGTGTGTTCATAAACAAGCTACAACCCGATAATAACTATCATTGTGTGCTTACTGGTGACTAGCTTAATGACGGAATTCTTAGAGTGCCAGTGAGAAGCTGTGACCAATGTAGTTCAGTCAAGTCGGATTTGAAGCAATAGCCCACCGAACATAATGGATGGAGACACACAGTATTCTAGATCGATCAAAATTAAACATTACAGTTATTGGATGACGGCTCAGTGAGCAACTGATTAGGCATTCTTGCACAAGATTGAAAGTTTTTGGTTTGGTGGTTACAGCCGGCATTTTTCGTAGATACACTCTTTTGATAAATCTTCTAGAATGATAAAACTACAATCTTTGCGTACTTTTGAATTGTGCTCTAACGCCGCTAATCGATACATAATTGCAATCCAATTATACTGTCACAAAGAAAACACATCAGTGTAACCAACCAGTTTCTACATCATATACTGTTGTAACGCTTGCTTCGATAATTCCCGGCTAAATCCTATTGTTCAGTATTCTCTGATCACAAATACACTGGACAAGTTCCCAACAATCAAAAAACACGGTTGAACAGGAAAAGATTATATTCCAAATAGCAAGGTTAAATGGAAATAAGAAGCCAAAGGTGATGGCGAAGGCGAAGAAGGCAAAAATAGATACAACGTTAGTCTATTTATAGCATTTACATGAGAAGCTTCTGGATAGAAATTCACGTGATCGACTGGATTAGATTTAACCAATCAGCACGCAGCTAACAGTACGAGAATCTTCTACCCTGTTCTCCAAGATTCGATCAGGCGCTGATTGGATAGGAAATTAGCCAATCAGCGCGCAGCAACGTAGTCATGCTTTGATTCCATCTATGTCCCACTAACATATACAATCACTGCAATACAACATTTCGATCAATGACTTTACATAATCATCATCAACGACCCTCAAATTAGAATTTTAAAATAATACAAATCAAATATCACAGTTTAAAATTTATATTTTATGCTTAAAGGAAAAAAAGGCAGAAAACATTTTAAGTTAACGGTATTTTTAAACAAAAGAATACAATTTTTAGTTCATCAATGTTAGTTCAACTCATCACAAAACTAAATTGCTGTTTTCTATCAATCTATTTCACTTAAATCTACTAGATGCTCATAAGAAGGAAAATAATAATAATTTCCTGTAACACAACGTGAAATCATCATTACATAATCATTTTTCTTATCTTCACTATCACCAGTCATACGATCTAACATGAAATCGAAATTATCGACATTTGCAGCATAAGCAATAAATAAAAGACCAGCTTCACCTGATGAAGTGCCATAAGGTTGAGATTGACGAACAATTCGATACTTCTTTTCCGCTCCAAATTTTTCAGCTATTCATAATAACAAGAAGTACAGAAAAACAAACAAACATTGATCAATGTACAATAATTAACCAAACACATTTTTAATGCTAAAAACAATGAACATACACTTTGTTCAATGGTCAAATTAAAACATTTCTTCCCTAATTTTAATATGACAATCAGACATTTAATTTGCATTACAGGGTTGTGAAGATTGTTATGTTACACATTATTTTGAAACCATGAATCGATCATTGTTAGACAGGGCACCATTAGAAACCTGGAGGGACTGAAAGACGGCCGTTTCGTCATGGTATGGGACGATACCAGCAGTGCGCATCCACGACTCCTACACCCCGCAGGATTCCAACCCAGGACCTTCGGTATTGTATGCGAACGCCCTAACCGTTAGACCACTGAGCCGGTATCATGGTGTTTAAAACTACTAGAGGAAACACTATCAATGGACGTAATAAACATGAGTCATATTCGGGATATAAATGGGAATACTGACGGAACTTAGATGAACTAAGAGGTGAATAGAGGAAAGGAATTGTGAAGTACAAACACATTTTTATACATACTTCATGACAGTGTAATACACTTTTGAGAAAGTATTATCTACTAATGAGTTCATTTGTAAAATATCAAGTTCTGAGTGAAAAATACACTTAAGTAAATCTGGAAGTCAACAGCTTTTTAAGTCAGTATAACGGTAATCGAATAAGCAAAGATTCACACACACACACACAATATTTATAACTTACATCCAACCATTCTAGCAACATGTGATGTATCCGGTTTATCTGATAGTTCAGCGCTATCGACCATATTTCGACCGATCCATTCTTCTAATGTGCTATCTACAAATCAAATATAAAATTCTCCATGAACATGGAACTTTAATATCAAGATTGTTAATGAAAATTATGCAAAGTGAGTACAATTTAAACTATTTCTATTTTGGTACATTCAACCTACTGACTGAATAATAATTAGTCATCTCAATGGATTATCGGGTTATACACTAATATGCATGCAAAATGTACAACGAATAGTTGGTTGCCCTAACGAAGGAAGTGTCTGCTTAAAATTACATAGTTTTTCATTGATTCACATCAATAAAGATAGATTTTATGACCAGTGTTTGCTTCAATACAACTGTTAATGATAACTTAAGAATGATAATTCTTAAAAAAAGATCTAGCCAACTGAAGATCTTTGTTGGATCTTATCATCAAGATATATCGATATTGTACATGGAATTATTCATTAGGAAACCTGACTGCATAAGCACTGGTAGAGTAGTTGATCAGCTAAGCAAAAATATGAAGGCAGATCGACTAGTTTTCTAGAAATGTAGAACACTTCATTCAATGTACATTTAAAGCCCAAAAACTTCAATTTATCAACCAAAAATATTTATTAATCATTAGAAATGTTGTCACTTACGCCTGGTCATTTGGATTAAACTCATATTGTGAACCCATTTCTGAACAATAACGTAACTTCCACCTGTTATATTATTGATCGCCACGGTAACTCGTTCATCTAAGTGTTCAGGATTCTCTGTGCCTTGTCACAAAATCAAATAAGGTTTGAAAGTTTTAGGCTTCTAATGGATTACATCTAATTTTTATGATACCAAGTGTGAAACATTCGCCTCAAATGTTTCATCACTTATGCATTTCTTGATCACACAACTCAGTATCATGAAATACTACAAATCTAATCGAATTTAGTTCTTGAGGAGTAATTATTGTTGTTATTCAACAGAACTTTACAAAAACTTGATAGTCTTCCTTTATAATCGAAATTACACGTTCACATAAACTGTAAGCTGATTCTTACTAATTTCGGTAATGAATATTTAATATTAAAATAATTATGAAGAATCATTATATAACTTGACAAATAGTCAAACTAGTTTTGCAGAAAACTTATAACAATCGAATTTAGACTGTGCAGAAAGTTTTCATTGTTCTCCGTTTAAATCCATTTCAAAAAATATTGTAGACTTATGATAATGAAAGTCAGATTGCATCGACGACTACACTTCAAGGCATCTCATAAAATTAAAATTGTCATCCTTTTTTTGAGCGATTAGCTACTCTAGTGAACAAAATTGTTCAAATATGCTTTTATTTTTGAGGAAAACATCAAACAATGAATAGTAGATTTGTTAAATTTATGACTATCTGATTGAGTGGATTTTGCGGAGAACACATTTACACGAGCGACAAGTATTCAGCTGGTGTATACAGAGACTCAAACCGTGAACCGAATAGTTGAACGAGATCAGTTTACAAAACACTCCTGATGAATGTCAATAATAATGTAATCATCATAGGAGATAAATATTAGATTAAGCTACAAGTTTCATCTCATTTCATATGAATTCAAAAAACCATTCAATAACCAGCACGAAACAAATATCCGTTCACAGTGACATACCATCAACGAATCCACTCAAATCACGCCCACCGCGATAAGTCCAACCGTAAATATCTTCGAATTTCGTCACACACTCAGGTGGTATACCAAAGATAATGAGCTCCGCCAATTCAAACAACACGCCATGATCATCACACTTTGCATGGACAAATATATCACCACCTAAAACATCATTAAAACAGTTATTTAAGAGTGATAGTTATAAACATCCGGTTACTGAATAGTATATTACAAAGTCTCACCAATCTAGGTGAGAATGTGCTAGGTGGGAATGTGCTACATTCATGTCAAACGCAGCTAACACTCAGCCGATAAAGTTCAGAAGAAACTACCGAAATAATCATAATTATATTATTATATAACCAACAAGGGAAAGTGATAAAAGAAACCACCACAAGATATTTGTACGAAACCTAAGTAGGAAAAATAAAACGGACCATTTCACTCTTTTACATTGTGATGATGAATTCTGGTGTCTAATGAGCAAGTAAGACTAAACTCACCTGTTTTAGGCATTTTACCAAACTTTCCGGATCTTTCACGATACTCATAGTTTCCGACTCCAGTATCTTTGAAATGAGGACTGATTTTCTTGAAGAAATCGAATCCGAAACCGATACCGTACAGAATTTCTTGATATTTTTTGGACTCGTTACGTGAACGAATAAGATTAACGTGATCCTAATAAAACAATATGGCACAAAACGAATATTGAATAAGAAAATAATGCTGACCGAATTTGAAAAAAAAACACATTTATAGGGAAATAGATAACCAAGTGAATAAAAGATATACAGATCTATTTACTTTCGAAAAGTACATCAGTTTTCTCATTATTTTTCAGACAGAATTACAACATAATGAAGCCATGTATTCTTGATGATCATCACATGAAACCCTACTCAATTGCATCGAAAGAATGTGCAAGGAAACGAACATATTAAATGAATCTCATTTTTAGCATAAAAGTCGACAATTTAAATTTAAAACACAAAATCTTTACAGTGCAATAGCATCGTGATATTTGTGAAGCATCAACTGAGTATTTATCAAGTTAACAATAATTAATGATCTACTCGATTTACATTTTAAATTGTCTGACTGAACATGTTTTTATGGCATCAACTATAGAACATTAGTAAATAATCATTTTGCTTCCATTTAATGAAGTTTTTAAACATCTAAATTCCACAGAATTGACTTATCCAATATGAAGAATTATGGTTCATTCAAAGAAACACAGACCTATGTACTCGTATACTGAATAAAAAGTAAAACAACATGACATACTTCAATGTTTACGATTGATTTGAAACATGTTTGAGGTGACGCGCTGGAATTCAAGTGAATTGTCAAGTACAAGGCATGAGACTTCGTACCACTGACTACCTGAAGGAATATAATGTTTGCGGAAGAGAATTTACTGATTTTTGATGTCCTGAATAAGGAGCTTCCGTAGTCGTGAATTCCAATTCTCCTTTTACGAAGATGAAATCGCAAATGATTATTATGCACAGAAAACACACTAAGTCGCTGATATAACGGTACATATATGAGAATCAATTGATACTCCTATTTTTTCGATGCCTAAGATTGAAGATAATGTGTAGTTTCTCAACAGACATACCTAAAGAACAAGCTGCTGCTAATTGCATGACCCTTAGATTTAAATACCTTCAAACACTCACTGTCAACCTTCACAATTTTAAACAACATTAATATGCACACCACACACTTGGGAATTAAAGAATTAGGGTTGAGCGTGGTACAGAACGCTTACTACAGCCAATGAGAGCTTGTGGAAGGTCTCCTTGAAGGATTCCGATCGCAGTTCTCACTTGGCATTGAGAAACAGATGCAATACCAAAGTTCGAAGCGACAGGAGACAATTCCAGACGAAGCTAGCCGCCGAAATAGAGGCAAACCCGAAAAATCTGTTTAGGTTCATTTCCAAAACAAAACCTACTGATCAAGGATTGTGTTCTCAAAAAGGACCAAAAGAGGAAGACCTCACCAACCTAGAGATGGCCGAGATCTTCAACAGTAATTTTACTGAGCAATTAAACAAGGTACCCACATGTTCAGAGTACTACGCAAACACAGTACCAGCTGACAGCTTAGGGAACATCCGTATCACTCCTGACTTAGTACTAAGGAAACTAAAATCCTTGCGCCCAGGTTAGTCACAAGGTTGTGACAATATTCGCCCCATAGTATAGAAACAACGTGCAGAAGTCCTCTGTTCACCGATATGTGACCTGTTCAGGCATTCACGGGAGTTACACCAATTCTCAGCTGAATGGAAACAATCTACTCCCTCTGTAGGATTTCATTTGTCCTACAGACGTAATTGTAGAACGGTAAACACAATATTGGCGAGAACAGAGCCTATGGGAAAGCTATAGTCAAAGCAAGATCATCTTTTGCTTTAAACATTATCTGTTTCTAAACATAAATACAATTAGATTGGTACAACAAATAAGACAATCACAGTTATCAAGTAAACCCAGTGAACATACCGACCAATATAGCTTGTCTTATGGAAATGAATGAAGTTATGAGTCACATCAATATAATAAAATAATAATGTCCTTCAATTATTAGGTCATTTACAACAAAAAAAGTTTACAAACATGTCAGATCAGATCACGTGGTTGGCACTTAAATCACTATTTGATTAGTTAATTATGATATAACTACTATTAGCCATGGAAATAACGAACACACCCTCCAATCTTCAAAGAAGGAGATAGAAAGGACCCAGCCTGTTACAGACCAGTCGCATGACTACCAATACTATCAAGGGTTATGGAAGGGCTGGTGGACGAACAAATGAGGGAGTAAATGGATAATAATAAAACACTCCATGAAGCTCAAAAGGGGGTTTTGGAAAAGCAGGTCGTGTGCATCTAATCTTCTCATTGCATGGGATAGTTGAACATTCTGTTCGGACCGTTAAATACCGATGCACGTAATATTTATCGACTTTGCAAAAGCCTTTGACACAGTACCCCGAGCAAGCCTAATCGCAAAGGTTGTGCAAACGGGCTTCACTGGCCCATTCGTATCTTGGCTCAGAAATTACCTTGAGAATAGAACGTTTCGTAGCAAGGTAAATAGAGTGCATGCGAGCTACATTGGGGGGTTTCACAGGGGACCACCTTAGACCCACTTCTCTTCCTGATATTTATTAACGACCTGTTAAGGTCAGTTAGCCCACCCGCATTGATGTACGCAGACGATGCGAAGATCTGGAGGTCCATTAGAAGCGAAGAGGATTCGACTGAGCTTCAAAAGGACCTTACATCTATTGAGAAATGGGCAGTGAAAAACGGTTTAAAACTCAACCGACCAAAGTGCCACGTCATGCTTATCCTGCCTCAGATCTGCCAAAGATCTACAACTTCAATGGAATTCGACTCCCTAATGTCTCCTCTGAGCGCGATCTCGGTTTAATAACCACAGAAAGCCTCCACACGAGCCCAGACAATGTAAGTAACGCAGCCACGGCAAATGCGACTCTTCACTTTCTGCGAAGACAACTTGGTGCTGTCACCCATTTCATTTCAAATTTTCTTTCCTATTAGCCGTCCTAAACTGTCAATGCCACAGATTTTGATGCCCTTTCATATTCAACCTAAATGTATAAATACGTATTATTTGTAAGACTTCATGATTCGGTTCCTTCCTGCCTACCATTCTTCTGTACTCGACTCAATAAACAAATCCATCCAAATGTGTTGCGGTCTGATATATAGGAGATTTGGGGGAAAGTATTTGGGTCGTATTGAAATATATGAATTCGGACGTCGGCAGGATTTGGAATAGCTACGTAGCAGCATTATAACACTCAATAAGTTTATCTTTCTAACCACTGGTGAATATTTTCAATCAATCATTAGTCTCGATGCAGCACCAGCATCATCCTGTCAAGTTGATTTGCTTGGTGCCGCGCGATCTATCGGTTTTGAAAAGGCCATCAATATGAATAACCCCTTGTCTCCTTTCTGGTGATCTCTATTTAATCGGAAAAGTGACTTGGCTTACAAACTCAGTTCATCGTCTGGACTGTCGAGGAATAGCTACGATTCGGTTAGGAGTGTGAGAGTTTAATCCACACCTAAATCCACTTAAGTTTTTATAGAGGCACAGCTAAGTTTGTCCCAAGACCTGGTGGACCTCTGCAGCAATAGCCATCGTCCGATATTCAAACAAGTTATTGAAACGGAGTTGGCCGGTTTGTGGGAAGTGACGTTTGTGTTCAGTCAGTGAGCCCAATATCTTTGTGTTTTGTGCCATTGGTTATTGATCGAGATCAACTACCATTATCCTGCGATTATTTACACCTCACTTTTATCGTCTCACAGATCTAGGTTGACTCTCGCAACAGCTGATATAACTAGAGAGTTAGTTCTGCATGCTATATCAAGCGTTAAGCTACTCAGTCAATTCTGATTTCTGATGTTCACAGCCATCAGATGTGGAGACTTAACAGTGGTAGAGTGTAACGGACAAGACACCCTGAAACTGCTGATTGCTGTGGTGCCGTTTGGGCATAGGCTACGTGATAGCGATCTCCACTGTTGCACCGCATGCAAACGAGCATCATCCAAGCTGCTGACAACCAGCCTGGGCACGCTCTTAAATACCATACTGATCTGCTCGTGCTAACCACAGTTTGTGACCCCTGCCTCGGATCAGGGAGGTCAACTTGGCCGAGAGTCTCTGTAGTGCGTTGAAGATTTTCCCGGCAAGTTGTGTTCAATTAAACGTCACCGTCAATGGAAGGGTTCCCGTTTTGCGACGTTTTGATTCTTGAAAAGATGGCATAGTTTAGCCCAGGATTACCGATGTCTAGGGTTGCACAGTACTTGTCCGACTGTTCTTCATCAAAGGCAGCCTTATTTTCCCTACCATCGATAGTGGAATACTAAAGGAAATGAGGAATTTTGTCCAACATCTCAGTCTCTGATATATAGTTTTTCGGGTTCTTTGCTAAAGCTATTTTTCTCTTCCTACACAAAAGCACTTTGCCAAAAAACGACAGTTTCTGAGGTGTTGTTTCAGGTTCCGACTGATCTTGTCGGTTGTTTCGTCGGTTTAGTACTAAGCAAACTTCAATTTACGCGTTGGATTTCTGTAGATTCTGAGTCTTTGCAAATGATAATTTTGCGTTGGAACTTTAGTTGTGGCCTTCAAAGTGAGCAGCTTCGCGTTGATCCGGTAACTTGTCCACAAGTCCTGTGTTTATGAGTGAATGAATGTGTTTTCCACCGGAGCCACTACGAAGGGAGGAGTTGTTGGAGACAGCTGGACATACTGCCTAGTGGTTCTGACTAGAAACAATTCGTTTTTCTGAATCGTGATTCAGACAGGTTACAGGCTAGATCAAATTGTTACAACATTTATACCACATATAAAGCAGAAGTCATCTGACAGATTGGAAATAAGTGTCTGTTTCTGATAGCACATTCACACAGTGTCACTGACAGAAACAGTTTGATACAGCCACAAGTAGGGCGATAAATGAGTAAGGAAGCAAGATGTTTGAATGATAATGAAATGAGAAAATAAAAATTTATTAAACTGGCAATCCATGAACAAGAAGGAACTCATAATATTGTAGGATATCTGACTTAACTGCAGTCGACGGCAACTGAGCAGCATCTAGAGGCTTTTCAATTTATCTGTTTACTAGAAATTAAAATTAAATGTGCGGTGAAAGATAAGAAGATTACAGTGTCAGTGTAAATCTTAAGCACACTCCAGAAGCACACACTTCAGAAGATTCACAAATCAGCTTGACAGTATGTCTTTCCTGTGCAATTTCCTATTTTCTACGGACTATCTTAGCCTCGACAAATATCTCTGTCGTAGTTACTAGTGATGAGAATTCATAAGCGTTTCGAATTCTGAAAGTATATCTTCGAAGACGTTTTCTTGTATAATCCGGCACACATAATTCTTTAGAATTTCTGGCTCTCCATGGTGCAAATTTATCGAAGATATTATTCATGCTCTGATGAAATATATTTATCAGTTCATCTGCAGTTAGGCCCCAGGTTCACTTCCTGTCGAGTAACACTATTCATGCAAGTTCCTTTCACTAGCTTGTTTGGCTGTTGCGAATTATGAGCCATTGGTTAGGCATCAAAACAACACAATTATCAGTTATGGATAAAATATTAAGGGTTTTCAAACAAGCTTTGAGAATTAAGAATATATTGGCGGAGATGTTTTTAACGAATTAAGCAGGAAAGTTTAGGAATAATTTAGTTCAAAGTGGGGCAGTAGATAACAGGACAGGATCAATAGTAAGTCAACAAAAAACAGTCTGACGGTAGTATCTATACTTTTTATCACAACGGTTTTAACGAGCATTCAGAAGATCAGTGCCCTATAGAATGAAATTATTATTTATAATGATAATAGTTTATTCCCAAATAACAGCATGTTACAAGAGGCATGCCAAGTTACAGGCAAGATCAAAATGCTAAGATTGCTCACGTAATTTTTGTAACACGTTTTTCAGTTACTCAAATATTTCACAAGATACATTGGCTTCATATAAATGGCTAAATTTATTAACATGAAATTATAGATAATTTCCCAGACTCGGCAATGTACAATGCGAATAATTGACAGTTGCGTTACGACGAACTGCTAATGAC